TGCCCCTTTTAACTTGAAATTTATTGAAATAATTTATGAACATTTGTTTAACCTCAAAAGTACAGTTTTTAAATTTATTTTTGCTGAAACAGCAAGTTTCTCAGTGGATCTGTGCTCGAAAAATGCAGCCTAGGTGGAGTAGTCGAACACAGATCCACTGATCCTTCAACACAGAGCATCTTCAGAAGACAAGTTGATAAAATAAATGTTAAAAATCTAYATTGTTCAATACAAGTRTGTATTGAAYGGTTTGATACGGGTACATGTATTGTTGCACCCCTTATACTTTTTATGAAGCAGTTTTATTCTTTCACCTTGCTGTGCTGTCTCATACTCCTGGAGTCGTGYTGATGAGTCTTTAGAGGAACAATCATTTATTAAGTTGTCAACTTTGCTGCCTTATTTAAATCCATAAGAACCCTATTATTTATAATACATGTAGAAAGGTAGCACATCACAATTGCAAACAGTAATTAACAACAAATAGTTTAACTGCATTGTAATGTGAATGCTTTAAATCTAAAAGTTGGTTTTTATTTGACATAACTGGAGCTATCCTGTTGTTCATTGCTGAAATATTACAATTAAACTTACACTGTTTCACAAATTGTCCCTGCTTTCTAAACTGTTACTGCATCTTATCAGAGTCGCATCATACACACAACGATGGTAATCTCAAGAAGAAGGCAGTGGCAGCTGCTAAAGAGAAAAATAAAGGGATGACAGTGAAATTTAAAGATGACACCAAAGGACAGACCAAAAACCCACCCTCTGACACTCCAATAAAGGTAAGAAGAAAATGTATTTGTGCACAAAAAGAGGCAGTATGTGTGTTTTTGTGTTCAGCTGAGCTTACTAAACATCACCAAGAGACAGACTGAGAATTTGAAGTTGTTCTGTCGACACGATCAAATGCATCATGAATTCTGTGTGAATTAAATTTTATGTTTATTAAAACACAAAACACGACTCAAACTGATGCTTCAACTGATCCAAATACAATCATCTACAACAAGCTGTCACTTKGTCATTTATTCATCTGCCATTCAAGTGGAATCTGTTGTCTTCTTACTACTTTGTTACTGCCTCCACATACTGACCACATATCTTCACTCTCAGAGATACATGAACCAACAAGATTGGTTTATTTTTGGCAGTTTTACTAAATAATTTAGTGTGTGTAACATCTTTAATTTCCCTGAAGCAATGAATGAATCCTCCCAATAGATCAATAAAGTTATATCTAATCTAATCTAATCTAATCTAATCTAATCTAATTAGTCCATGGGCTAGGGTGGGTCGCTGTCATTGGTTAGGTTTTCAATTTAAATGACATTTCATTAAACAAATGTGCAAACAATGATGTCATCAGAGGGTGAAAAGTCACAATCCCAACAGAAGATGAAAATTTTCATCTTTTATCTGAGTTTACCACACAGATCCTAAATATTCAACTTACTTTACATTTTCATGCACCTTATCCACTTATTCAGAAMAAAAGTCTGTTAACAAAATTAAAGTTGTTCTCCACAGGGACCAGTTTATGACCACACCCCTACTCACTGTGTGTCAGAATTTCCAGAATGTCAAACTTACAAGTAGATTTRTTCACTATGTCAGAATAAAATGTCATAAATCTGGTGTTAAAGGATAGATATTAATGTGGTCTCTCACTTAGATGTGCTTTTGTTGATTATTTATGCAACAGACCATGTTACCAGCCAGGGGTTAAAAGTAACACATTAGACCATTGGTGAGCATATCATTTGTTGAAACTAAAAGCCTTTCACAGAATTATTCTTTGAATAGCTTGAACTGGAAATCTTGTTTAAAACTGGTTGATGTAAAATTTGAGAAATTTTTACATTATTTTATTCAGCTTTATGTCCAGTGGACTGTGCTAAACCTGTTACATCAGTTCTTCAGATTAAAGGTTCGTTTGGAATCACTGTCCAACCAGTCACCATTTCCATTGTCTTCAAAATCCCTTTCACTGTCTGAGGACTCTTTGACTTCACTAAGGGTAGTCTCTCCTAGTTTGTCAATAAGYGCTTGTGGCAATAACATCATTGTAAGAGGGGGACAACTAGACATGGAAGACTCCACCCCTGATAGTTTTTCTTTAAAAAAATGGCTTCCTTTACTCCTCTCAAACCAACGTTCTGGGCTCGACACACGGGGAGTGACAAACGACAGCTATTAATGGCTGTCATCGCAACCTGGGTGAAAGCCAACGCACAGGACACGTCAGCKATGGCAGCATTGCAAATCGCTCTCTCGGGTCGCTTGTCTTCACGAAATTTGATTGGTTCTTCTTGTAGAGGTTATTGGTTATTTGCAAAAAAAGGGAGTGTGCTTTAAGGACGTGTAAACTAAACAAATCTTGCGATGCTGATGGTAGTGAAAAACAAATGCACGTCAAGATACGTTTTTATTAGGAAACACTTACCGGATAACTTCACCCTGGCATCAACAAATTTCCATAAAGCTGCCTTTTTTTTAGTAATCACTTGGTGAACGGTCAAATAAAATAGGAAAATTTGAAAGAAAATAATGTTGAAAGTGTTAGCTAACTGCAGTGTGTGGCATACTCCACTTATTGGTCAGTCAATGAAACCCTCACTGATTGGTTGTAACGCCATGCGACAGCAACAAAAATATAACATTTTTCAACTTTCATATGTGATGTTGCAAGCTCGCGTGTGCACGTCTACGCGTACGAGCGCAAACTTTCACATGCACGATTTTCGCCGGTCGGTTGGCTGGAGGAGGGCGAGCGATTGTCCCCTCATCGCACAAGTTTCATAGGAAATGAATGGAGAGAGAACAATGTCGCCTCCCGTGTGTCGAGCCCATTCCTCTCTATCATACATGAGAACATCTTTATCCCCTGATTGAAATCATCAGGCCAGGATGCTGTAGTCTCATCTACAGGCCAGGACTCTGCAGTGGTCACTCTATCAGGGGATAAAGATGTTCTCATGTATGATAGAGAGGAATGGGCTCGACACTCACATTCAATTCAGTTTATTTATATAGCGCCAACTCACAACATATGTTGTCTCAGGGCACTGTACATAAAAAGAACAATCTAAAGAAGAAACCAGCAGATTGTGTTGAATCACTTCATCACAGTCTCCCATCCTGAGCAAACGGTGGAGAGGAAAAACTCCCTGCTAATCAGGAAGAAACCTCCAACAGAACCAGGCTCAAAGGCTAAAAGTCTAGAAGTTTGTTTGATCAGACAGTGAACCTGCGGCCCACCTGTCTGTTGCTCCGTGGGAGTCGAGCCAGTCGCACCCCGGACATGTCGAACAGCCGGACCTGCCGATTGTCGTGAGGAAGAGCGATGATTTTCTGGTTCACCGACACGCTGATCCTGAACAGAGCAAACAGCACGGACGTCAGGAGAAAACGGTTTGCTCAGTTCGTTGGTTTGAGCAGAAGATGGTTTAAAGTCAGGATTTATCTGCAGGAATCATTCGAGACGCAGATTTACAGATTTCAAATGATGAAAGATTCTGTTTGAAAAAAAAACTAAACAAACAAAACAGTGATGCAAACTAAAAACTTGGGCTGTGGACAACCTCTATGCTGTTTCTGAAGTAATCTGATTACTTTTGGATCACTGTTAGTGTAATATTACAGAAGTGTTCATAATGAAATAAATAAATAAAACATAATTAAGTATCTATATGAATAAATAATAGATAAATATGCAATGAGACAATATGTGTATACACATTTAAGCTCATTGGGCCTCATGCAAGAACCGTTGGTACGCAC